TACACCACAAGGGGACTCACACTACAACTAACACGGTGATCCTTCTGCCATTATTATGTTACCCAAACGGGTCTCCTGGCACAAAACCATTGACTATCATCTTGCTGGAATGGGGGTCCCCCCGGGGTGGAAAGACTCAAAGTGCAATCACACATGTTTGATGCTTTCTCTTTGTTTTAGTTTTTTTGTTTTTTTGTTTTTTTTGTTTTTGTTCTTTCATCTAGTGTTGCCTCCAAGCTACTGAGAACCTAGTCTAAGTTAGGCACGCCACGCAGCAGCTTATTATTTACTCACTCAGACCAGAGATATACTCCACCTTTCTTTAATCAGCCCATCAGGTACTTAACTGTATATATTCTCACTCACAGTTACCACAGAGGCAGTATAGACATACTTATAATACACCACTTCGCCTCTCCGCTGATTATTCTCTGTTCACTCAGGCAACTGAACAGGCGTAGATGTTATCTCTCACTGTTCCCACACCTGATGTATATGTATGAGTACCTGTGGAGTGTTAAACTCTTATACATTTGCTTCGCTAACCAGTAAGCTTGGCATGTTTTTGCTTGCATATTCATGTAGTCCACGCTTAACTACACGAAGGTACGGCAGACCCATCATGAGAGGCAATAGCGGTTAAACGAACCATACTACTTACTCCAGCCACCACAAAATGCTCACGTATCTCAGACATGTCAGTAAGCGTTTGTGACTAAATGCCCACTAACTATACCCTATACACAATCTGATAGAATGTTCCTGTTATGAATCTGTTAATATATAAAAATGTGCTCATTACTCTACTGCTCCTAATGTAATGCTAGATAAAATGCTCGAGGATTGCTGTTGGGGCACCAAGAGCTTGTATGTACTAATCACCATGCACACCAAAATAAAGAATTAAAAAAAAAAAAAAAAAAATTTGTTTTTGTGTGAAAAATGCAAAGAACTAATTTGAATGCCAATTTTGGCCAGTGTTTGTGACCAATTGGCTTCTAAAAAAGACTGGACATACCACATTTGCAATACCTTGGGTTGTCAACTATTGCAAATGGGATGTCATCATGGGGTTAATTTTCATTTCTGGGCTACCATACGGTCTCAAAGGCAACATAGCCAATCTGGCGAATTTCAATGTGAAAAAACTAAAACGCAAGCTTTATATTTGACTCTGTAAAATTTGAAAACACCATAAAACCTGTACATGGGGGGTACTGTTATACTCGGGAGACTTTGCTGAACACAAATATTAGTGTTTCAAAACAGTAAAGCATATCACAACAATTATATTGTCAGTGTAAGTGCCATTTGTGTGTGAAAAATTCCAAAAAGTCACTTTCACTGATACATATCTTATATATTTATGAAATAATTTTACATAATTAGGTTATTTTATTAATTACAATTTGTGGGACCTGCCTGACAACCCAGGCCGAAATTCCAGGGAATTTAATTTGCTAACACTATATTTAACCCTGTAACTTTCCAAGACACGATAAAACCTGTACATTGGAGGTACTGTTTTACGTGGAAGACTTCGCTGAACACAAATTTTACTTTCTTGAAACACGAATATTTGTGTTCAGGGAAGTCTTCCAAGTAAAACAGTACCCCCCATGTACAGGTTTTATGGTGTCTTGGAAAGTAACAGGGTTAAATATAGTGCTAGCAAATTAAATTCCCTCGACTTTCGGCCTGGGTTGTCAGGCAGGACCCACAAATTGTAATTAATAAAATAACCAAATTATGTAAAATTATTACATAAATATATAAAAAAAAATTTAATTATTTTTATTTATATATAGGTATATATATATATATATATATATATATATATATATATCTACACACCTATATAAATAAAACTATATAGTGATATAAATATATATATAGTGATATATATGTATATATTTATGCATATAGATATATATTATTTCGTTCTACGTGTATTTTGATATCAATATATATATATATATTGATATTAAAATACAGTTAGAACGAAATTACACACACATATATTTTAATTATGTATTTTTTATTATTTTTTAACGTATTTACATATTTATTTCATATTAGATATATATATAATTATAATTTTATATGTATATTTAATAAATATTCTATGTGTATTTAGATATATATATATATATACTTGTTTTGTCCTGATGAAAGCTCCATGTTGGAGCTGAAATGTTGACTTTTTAAATGGATTGAATAAAAGTTCAATTTTATTTGAAAATCTCTATAAAGTCCTTGGAGTGCGGTCATTTCTGCTATGTCTATATTAATATTAAAAAACACTGAGACAGTGTATGTGTATGTATAGATCATATATATATGTAAGTATATATTTTATTTTAAACGGTTTTTAAATCTTTTATTTTACATTTCCAGGCAGCAAGGGGAGTACCTGTTATTACAGGCACTCCTTGTGCTGGGAAAACAACAATATATGTGAACACAACCCCAGTGAAAATGATATAATATAGGAGCAAACCAAAACTTCCCTTATCTTAAGGTGAAGTATCCAGATGAATCCCCGAAGACTTCCTCTTGTCTTCAATAGATATACACAGAAAAATAGGGGACAATCTGCTAAATACAAATAAAACAAAAAAACATAGCGTATAACTGTGTGGAGACTGGTATTGATGTGCGATCACAAATGGTCACTCACAATTTTGAAGAGTTAAGATAGCCTTGAATGATGTCTTTATGGAGTAAAGCAGCTTTAAATGGTATTTTTCAATATCCAGTGTGTTGTCCCTCCTCACATATTCATCAGCAAATAGATATATATGTCTCAAAGAGAGACTGTGGGGGGGATATTGTTACTATTGCTGCTATTTCTGATTGCACTTTATTACACCAAGTCCCTGAGGAAGTCCAATTTCAGGACGAAACGCGTAGGACGTGTATGGTGATATGCTGTTTGTTTTATACCTAAATGTAAGTCATTAAATATATTTTTTATCATATTCTGGAAGTGCACTACATTTTTGTACATTTTCTCTCTTTGAGACATATATATCTATTTGCTGATGAATATGTGAGGAGGGACAACACACTGGATATTGAAAAATACCATTTAAAGCTGCTTTACTCCATAAAGACATCATTCAAGGCTATCTTAACTCTTCAAAATTGTGAGTGACCATTTGTGATCGCACATCAATACCAGTCTCCACACAGTTATACACTCCTTGTGCTGGCACTGTTGTGGTCCTCGCAAGGACCTCGCAATCACATGGCCCTGCGGGGCCAGAACGGCAGCAGGGGGACTCCCTGGCATGACAGGTAAGTCCCTCCACTGAGATTGCCGGCGTGGGATTGCCAGCGAGTGGGTAAGTACAAAGGACGGCGGGGATGTCCTTAAGGGGTTAATATGTCAAGGTAGTTGGACTGAATTGTTTATATGCAAATGCATTTCTTAAAATAAATTTGCTCTTTATTTTGAAGCCCTAGGAGCGCGAGGACGTCCAGTGTCAGTTAGGCAACTTTTTTTATACTGTACTTTTCAAAATAAACCTATGTTTCTATGGAAACGGTAGTTGTTGGGTTTTTGCGGTCCACATAAAAGTAAACCTTGTTTATTTGGCCCGTCTTAGCCTTTAAATATGACAAGCTTGGTGTAGTGGTTTGGGATTTTGTGACTACAATTAAAGTTGTAACCTCAGCATGTCAAATTTTGCAAAGTTTTATCTTTAAAAATGTTGCAGTATTTGCTGTATAATTTCTAAAAATTAATTGAAGTATTAGACATATTAGGCATTTTAACAATCAAGACTAATTTGTGAATCTATTTTGAGTTATTTTTCTTAATGTGCACTTGGTGTGTAGAAAATGTTAAATGCAAAAATGAGAAAATGTTATTCCCATTTTTTATATTTTATTCCTATTTAGCATTGTGTTATGTATACAATAGGATATCAAAATCAAGCCCCATTTCACCTTTAAAAAAAAAATGATATAGAAATATATGGCTGCACTTAAACAGAAAGGGGGAAATTGTGTTAGAATGAACATAAGTGCCAAAAAGGACTTGGTCACAAACACATTGCATCTCAAAATTCTTGGTCCTTAAGGAGATAAAGACACCATCTAGCTTGGGTTAACATTATAGTTGAGCGGACTCCTGGATGTTCGGGTCCGGCGGGTTCAGCCGAACTTTGAAAATAAGTCCGGGTTCGTGCTCGAACTTGACCCCGAACTTGACCCTGAACCCGAACCCCATTGAAGTCACAAAAATGCCTCTAAAAAACTCCTGGAAAGGGCTAGAGAGCTGCAAAAAGAAGTAAAATGGGGGACAAGTGCCCTGCAAACAAATGTGGATAGGAAAATCACTTAAAATAACATAAAAATTAAAAATACAGCTGAGCCATAAAATAGCACTAGATGGAATCTTTGATTTTAGCTTTGGAAGAACATAAATCAAAATCTAAAGCATGGCTGTCAGGAGGATCAACAGAATTATCCATTTGAGAGAGGGTTGGAGTGCAGGGTATTAATTGTTCAAACTGAGCTCAACTCCTGATGCATGGAGAAAAGGCCTTTACAAGCCTCTGCTATATATGAGGAGGCGGTGACCGTGGCGGTGTAGGTGGAAGCAGCGGTGGAAGATGAGGTAGCCAACACTCATATATATATATATATATATGTATTTTTTTTAAAAAATTTTTATTGTGGTAGCCCACAATATATTGGGACATACAAAAAAAGAAACATTTGCGGCCTGCGGTGTGTTTCTTTCAGTCCTGATGCATGGAGAAATGCTCAACTTCAGATACATGGAGAAAAGGCCTTCACAAGCCTCTGCTATTGTGTACATAGTTTATTCTAAGTGACCCATAGGTTGAGGAGGCGGTGACCGTGGCGGTGTAGGTGGAAGCAGCGGTGGAGGAGGAGGAGGAGGATGAGGTAGCCAACACTGTTTTTTATATATTTATATATATATATATATATATATATAATTTTTTTTTAATTGGGGTAGCCCCCAAAATATTGGGACATATAAAAAAAGACAACTCTGTTCCGCAGAGTAGCTGTTGACATTATAGTTGCACAGGCACTTTGTTGACGCTAGAGAACCTCGGGCCAATCGCACATCCCCGTGATGGTGACTTTGCATTCGATGTCATCCATATCAGGTTTCTGCACCTACCATGGTGACCATGGGTAACGGGGAATCAGGGTTCCATTCTGTACAGGGACCCTGAGAAACAGCTACCACATGTAAAGAAGACAGCAGGCAAGCAAATGACCAACTCCAGACGCGGGAAGGTAGTGACGACAAATAACAATACAGGACTCTTTAGAGGCCCTGTAATTGTAATGAGTACACTTGAAATCCTTTAACTCTGACCAATTGGAGGGAAGTCTGGTGCAGAGCCACTGACCCGTGCGTGCTGCAGCTGAAACTCCACTATCACCTGCTGCTGCTCACACAGTCTAATGAGGCGGTGAGCGGGAAGGCTGAAGTTATGCTGCAGTGCAGACAGGTGAGCAGCAGCAGGGTGAGAATGCCAAAAGCACGCACAGCCGCTACAGTGAATGTCACATCCTGTTCCAAGTTGCGGATCAGTCTGGTGATGGTTTCTGGTATCCAGTACTCTTTTTACTGAAGCTGCATCAGGGTCCTGGTATGTGGCCGCACAAATGTGGTGCTCAACACCAGGGGGCGTGCGGTTGCCCTGCACCAGACCCTGCTAATCCATTCCACACTGTGACTCCTAACTTCAACATCAGGCATACTGGGTCCTGGTCGTCCGACCACCGCTCAGACAGTGTCTGGGTCCTGGTCACTGGACTGCCCACCTCACTGTGAAACTACGAATGGATCGTTAAATCTGGTATGAACCCGAACTTTGCAGTTCCGGTTCGCTCAACTCTATTATGGATCCTTTGATCGCTACATGTATTACTTGGATAACTGGTAATTCTCGCGCTAATACATGCCGACGAGCGCTAGGGGATGGCCGCTTCGCTTTTGCACCCTGCTCCCTCTTATGCTGTGCTGGTGCCTGTATGCGACCAGCGCCTCTTCCTCCAAACTGCACACGTCACTCGCATGACCTTGATTCCATGTGGGGTCTAGGACCTCATCATCCTCCACATCATCTTCCACCCACTCCTCAACCCTGCCCTCCTTGCCAGTATGCACACTGCAGAAAGCCACAACAGTTGGCACCTGTGTTTTTAAACATAGAAACATAGAATGTGACGGCAGATAAGAACCATTCGGCCCATCTAGTCTGCCCAATTTTCTAAATACTTTCATTAGTCCCTGGCCTTATCTTATAGTTAGGATAGCCTTATGCTTATCCCACGCATGCTTAAACTCCTTTACTGTGTTAACCTATACCACTTCAGCTGGAAGGCTATTCCATGCATCCACTACCCTCTCAGTAAAGTAATACTTCCTGATATTATTTTTAAACCTTTGTCCCTCTAATTTAAGACTATGTCCTCTTGTTGTGGTAGTTTTTCTTCTTTTAAATATAGTCTCCTCCTTTACTGTGTTGATTCCCTTTATATATTTAAATGTTTCTATCATATCCCCCCTGTCTCGTCTTTCCTCCAAGCAATACATGTTAAGATCCTTTAACCTTTCCTGGTAAGTTTTATCCCGCAATCCATGAACCAGTTTAGTAGCCCTTCTCTGAACCCTCTCTAAGGTATCAATATCCTTCTGAAGATACGGTCTCCAGTGCTGTGTACAATACTCCAAGTGAGGTCTCACCAGTGTTCTGTACAATGGAATGAGCACTTCCCTCTTTCTACTGCTAATACCTCTCCCTATACAACCAAGCATACTGCTAGCATTTCCTGCTGCTCTATTACATTGTCTGCCTACCTTTAAGTCATCAGAAATAATCACCCCTAAATCCCTTTCCTCATATGTTGAGGTTAGGACTCTATCAAATATTCTGTACTCTGCCCTTGGGTTTTTACATCCAAGATGCATTATCTTGCACTTCTCCACATTAAATGTCAGTTGCCACAATTCTGACCATTTTTCTAGTTTACCTAAATCATTTGCTTATCCCTCCTGGAACATCAACCCTGTTACATATCTTAGTATCATCAGCAAAAAGACATATCTTACCATCAAGACCTTCTGCAATATCACTAATAAAAATATTAAAGAGAATGGGTCCAAGTACAGATCCCTGAGGTACCCCACTGATGACAAGTCCAAGCTTCGAATATATTCCATTAACTACAACTCTCTTTTGCCTGTCACTCAGCCACTGCCATACCCATTCAACAATATTGGAATCCAAACTTAAAGATTGCAGTTTATTGATAAGCCTTCTATGTGCAACAGTGTCAAAAGCCTTACTGAAATCTAGGTAAGCAATGTCTACTGCACCACCCTGATCTATAATTTTAGTTACCCAATCAAAAAAATCAATAAGATTAGTTTGGCATGATCTCCCTGAAGTAAACCCATGTTGTCTCTGATCTTGAAATCCATGTGTTTTTAGATGTTCAACAATCCTATCCTTTAACATGGTTTCCATCACTTTCCCCACTACTGAAGTAAGGCTTACTGGCAGTGGTGTATCCTTGTTTTGTGCTGCCCTAGGCAGGACAAAACTCAGGCAACCCCCTCCCCCTGCGCCACCCCCACCCATCCCTCCCCCCCCCACCTTCTAAATACACACACACACACACACACACACACAAACAGTCAGACACACACATACAGACACACACATACACAGTCAGACACACACACACAGTCAGACACACACAGTCAGACACAAACACACAGACACACACACACACACAGTCAGACACACACACAGACACAAACACACACAGTCAGACACAAACACACACACAGTCAGACACACACACAGTCACACACACACACACACAGTCACTCACATTAACATTTTTTTTAATTTAACCCCACCCCCCCCAGCCTCTTTACCTTTGGGAATGCTGGGGGGGAGGGAAGGGTCCCTCTCTCCCTGGGGGTGCTGGGGGTGCAGTGGCTGCTGGGCGGGCGGCTGGCGAGGGAGCTCTTCCTCTGAGCTGTCTGCTCAGCTCCCTTGCGCGCCGCAGAGTGAGGCTGGGAGCCGAGTTGATGACGTCATATTCCGGCTCCCAGCCTCACTCTGCGGTGCGCGAGGGAGCTGAGCAGACAGCTCAGAGGAAAAGCTCCCTCGCCAGCAGCCCGCCCGACCATCAGCCAGCGCTGCCCGCCAGCCCAGCATGTCTGTTAGCCGCGAGGCTAACAAGGCATTTGCCCTGGGCATTTGGGGGTGGCGTTTTTTGCCGCCCACTGAAAAATGATGCCCAAGGCAAATGTCTTGTTTGCCTCGCGGCTAATACGCCCCTGCTTACTGGCCTATAGTTGCCCGACTCCTCCCTATTACCTTTCTTGTAAATGGGCACAACATTCGCTAAGTTTCAATCTTCTGGGACTACTCCTGTTAACAATGATTGGTTAAATAAATCTGTTAACTGTATTGCTAGTACACCACTAAGCTCTTTTAATAGCTTTGGGTGTATTCCATCAAGTCCCATTGACTTATTTGTCTTTACAAATAAGTTTTTTTTTTTCCAGCATGTAAAGTCTGTAAAGGACATATGGAAATTGTTTTAGAATTGTATCCAGGCAACAATTTTCCATATAAACTGACCTCTCAGTTTGACTTGTGAGGGTATTGCCCCAGGATTACAATATTGTTGAAGTATCTCTTAGCTATTGATAACTGGTTTAAATATAGCAGCTTGTTATCTGGTAGTTTCTAGTGTAGAAAATATCAATCTGTTTTCTATCACTTAGATCTGTGTAACAAGTGTTGTAGGTGTGAAACAATATTACAAGTGACCGATGTAGTAAATTCGAATCAAAGTTACACTTCGATTTGACTCTCAGATATAAAGTGAACACCCCAAATATACTATTTAGCACCAAAAATACATTTGACTTTTTAAAACTCCAATGTAAGCAGCAGATTAGCAGCAAAACAATTAGAATGTTTACAACTGCACGGTAAGCGCACTATTTGACGCTTCTATTTGACTCTCAGATATGAAGCACACCGCAGGCCGCAAAATGTACTATTTAGCAGATTAGCAGCAAAACAATTAGAATGTTTACAAGTGCTCTGTAAGCACACTATTAGACGCTTCAATTTCACTCTCAGATATGAAGTGCACCGCAGGCTGCAAATGTACTATTTAGCAGATTAGCAGAAAAACAATTAGAATCTTTCCCACTGCGCTGTAAGCGCACAATTAGACGCTTAGATTTGACTCTCAGATATGAAGTGCACGCCCCAAAATTTACTATTTAGCAGTTTAGCACCAAAACAATAAGAATGTTTACAACTTCGCTCTAAGCGCACTATTAGATGCTTCTATTTGACTCTCAGATATGAAGAGCAGGCCCCAAAATTTACTATTAAGCAGATTAGCACTCAGAAAATAAGAATTTTTACAAGTGCCATGTAAGCACACTATTAGACGCTTCTATTTGACTCTCAGATTTGAAGAGCAGGCCCCAAAATGTACTATTTAGCAGATTAGCAGCAAAACAATTAGAATGTTTACCACTGCGCTGTAAGCGCACTATTAGACGTTTCTATTTGACTCTCAGATATGAAGTGCACGCCCCAAAATGAACTATTTAGCAGATTAGCAGCAAAACAATTAGAATGTTTACCACTGCGCTGTAAGCACACTATTAGATGCTTCTATTTGACTCTCAGATATTAAGTGCACCCCACTAAAATACTATTTAGCACCCAAAAAATTTTAAGTTTGAAAACTGCAATGTGACAGCAGTATTTGACGCTTCTATTTGACTCTCAGATATGAAATGCACCCCACTAATGTACTTTTTAGCACCCAAAAAATTTTAAGTTTGAAAACTGCAATGTGACATCAGTATTTGACGATTCTATTTGACTCTCAGATATGAAGTGCACCCCACTAATGTACTATCCCACTAATGTACTATTTAGCACCCAAAAAAAATTGACTTTTTAAAACTCTGATGTAACCACGGTATTTGAAGCTTCTATTTGACTCTCATATATGAAGTGCACCCCACTAATGTACTAGTTTGCAGAATTCTTTCCTAAGCTGTCCCTCACAGCGGCAGCATCCTCTCCCTACACTAATAAGACCTCATGTGCGTGCAGCGCTACGCGACTCCAGCTTATAGATAGAGGCTGGGTCACATGCTGCACTGGCCAATCACAGCCATGCCATTAGTAGGCATGGCTGTGATGGCTTCAAAGGGCACACGAGTCAAACGCTTGTGGA